GGTAAAGTATAGTAAAGTATAGTATAGTATAGTATAGTATGGTATGGTATGGTATAGTGTGGTATGGTCTTATAATCGTAATTGTGTAGTGTATTGTAGTAAATGACTGTGTGTTTCTGGGGAGTGTGGACGTGTGCGACTGATACAAAGCTGTAGTTTTGAAGCACATGTGGAGGGTGAGTGTATTAGTGGGTGAGTGTATTAGTGGGTGAGTGTATTAGTGGGTGAGTGGGTGAGTGTATTAGTGGGTGAGTGTATTAGTGGGTGAGTGTATTAGTGGGTGAGTGGGTGAGTGTATTAGTGGGTGAGTGTATTAGTGGGTGAGTGGGTGAGTGTATTAGTGGGTGAGTGTATTAGTGGGTGAGTGTATTAGTGGGTGAGTGTATTAGTGGGTGAGTGGGTGAGTGTATTAGTGGGTGAGTGTATTAGTGGGTGAGTGGGTGAGTGTATTAGTGGGTGAGTGTATTAGTGGGTGAGTGTATTAGTGGGTGAGTGGGTGAGTGTATTAGTGGGTGAGTGTATTAGTGGGTGAGTGGGTGAGTGTATTAGTGGGTGAGTGTATTAGTGGGTGAGTGTATTAGTGGGTGAGTGTATTAGTGGGTGAGTGGGTGAGTGTATTAGTGGGTGAGTGTATTAGTGGGTGAGTGGGTGAGTGTATTAGTGGGTGAGTGTATTAGTGGGTGAGTGGGTGAGTGTATTAGTGGGTGAGTGTATTAGTGGGTGAGTGTATTAGTGGGTGAGTGGGTGAGTGTATTAGTGGGTGAGTGTATTAGTGGGTGAGTGTATTAGTGGGTGAGTGTATTAGTGGGTGAGTGTATTAGTGGGTGAGTGGGTGAGTGTATTAGTGGGTGAGTGGGTGAGTGTATTAGTGGGTGAGTAGGTGAGTGTATTAGTGGGTGAGTGGGTGAGTGTATTAGTGGGTGAGTGTATTAGTGGGTGAGTGTATTAGTGGGTGAGTGTATTAGTGGGTGAGTGTATTAGTGGGTGAGTGTATTAGTGGGTGAGTGGGTGAGTGTATTAGTGGGTGTGTGGGTGAGTGTATTAGTGGGTGAGTGTATTAGTGGGTGAGTGGGTGAGTGTATTAGTGGGTGTGTGGGTGAGTGTATTAGTGGGTGAGTGTATTAGTGGGTGAGTGGGTGAGTGTATTAGTGGGTGTGTGGGTGAGTGTATTAGTGGGTGAGTATAAGTGTGGAGTCACCGAGAACAGTGGAGTGAGATGGTTCTGAGGAAGCAGAACAAGTCCAAACGGGTCAGATTGGATTTGACTCATCGCCCGTTTATTCTGCACATATTTGTCTAAAAGAAACTTGTGTAAACTCAACTAAATTCAGACGTTGTGGCGTCACGTGTTACATTTACATTAACATTTACAATCAATTATTATAATATAGATATAATTATTATAACAATTATTTGTGGAGAACTCAAATATGATTCAGACAAAGTTAAAACATGTTTGCATTAACTGTTTAATGTTTGTGAAGTAACTTGGATCAGACAGAACTAATCATGTGTTATTAACATGAATACATGTTTCTGCAGAACAGTTCATCCACTGCTCGTGCTAACACTGACACACTACTTTCCCAGGACGATAAAGACAGAGAGCTACTTTCCCAGGACGATAAAGGCAGAGAGCTACTTTCCCAGGACTATAAATGCAGAGAGCTACTTTCCCAGGACGATAAAGGCAGAGAGCTACTTTCCCAGGACGATAAAGGCAGAGAGCTACTTTCCCAGGACGATAAATGCAGAGAGCTACTTTCCCAGGACGATAAAGGCAGAGAGCTACTTTCCCAGGACGATAAAGACAGAGAGCTACTTTCCCAGGACGATAAAGGCAGAGAGCTACTTTCCCAGGACTATAAATGCAGAGAGCTACTTTCCCAGGACGATAAAGGCAGAGAGCTACTTTCCCAGGACGATAAAGGCAGAGAGCTACTTTCCCAGGACGATAAATGCAGAGAGCTACTTTCCCAGGACGATAAAGGCAGAGAGCTACTTTCCCAGGACGATAAAGACAGAGAGCTACTTTCCCAGGACGATAAAGGCAGAGAGCTACTTTCCCAGAGACGATAAAGGCAGAGAGCTACTTTTCCCAGGACGATAAAGACAGAGAGCTACTTTCCCAGGACGATAAAGGCAGAGAGCTACTTTCCCAGGACGATAAAGGCAGAGAGCTACTTTCCCAGGACGATAAAGGCAGAGAGCTACTTTCCCAGGACGATAAAGGCAGAGAGCTACTTTCCCAGGACAATAAATGCAGAGAGCTACTTTCCCAGGACGATAAAGACAGAGAGCTACTTTCCCAGGACAATAAATGCAGAGAGCTACTTTCCCAGGACGATAAAGACAGAGAGCTACTTTCCCAGGACAATAAATGCAGAGAGCTACTTTCCCAGGACAATAAAGGCAGAGAGCTACTTTCCCAGGACAATAAAGGCAGAGAGCTACTTTCCCAGGACGATAAAGGCAGAGAGCTACTTTCCCAGGACGATAAAGGCAGAGAGCTACTTTCCCAGGACGATAAATGCAGAGAGCTACTTTCCCAGGACGATAAAGACAGAGAGCTACTTTCCCAGGACGATAAAGGCAGAGAGCTACTTTCCCAGGACGATAAAGGCAGAGAGCTACTTTCCCAGGACGATAAAGACAGAGAGCTACTTTCCCAGGACGATAAAGGCAGAGAGCTACTTTCCCAGGACTATAAATGCAGAGAGCTACTTTCCCAGGACGATAAAGGCAGAGAGCTACTTTCCCAGGACGATAAATGCAGAGAGCTACTTTCCCAGGACGATAAAGGCAGAGAGCTACTTTCCCAGGACGATAAAGACAGAGAGCTACTTTCCCAGGACGATAAAGGCAGAGAGCTACTTTCCCAGGACGATAAAGGCAGAGAGCTACTTTCCCAGGACGATAAAGACAGAGAGCTACTTTCCCAGGACGATAAAGGCAGAGAGCTACTTTCCCAGGACGATAAAGGCAGAGAGCTACTTTCCCAGGACGATAAAGGCAGAGAGCTACTTTCCCAGGACGATAAAGGCAGAGAGCTACTTTCCCAGGACAATAAATGCAGAGAGCTACTTTCCCAGGACGATAAAGACAGAGAGCTACTTTCCCAGGACAATAAATGCAGAGAGCTACTTTCCCAGGACGATAAAGACAGAGAGCTACTTTCCCAGGACAATAAATGCAGAGAGCTACTTTCCCAGGACAATAAAGGCAGAGAGCTACTTTCCCAGGACAATAAAGGCAGAGAGCTACTTTCCCAGGACGATAAAGGCAGAGAGCTACTTTCCCAGGACGATAAAGGCAGAGAGCTACTTTCCCAGGACGATAAATGCAGAGAGCTACTTTCCCAGGACGATAAAGACAGAGAGCTACTTTCCCAGGACGATAAAGGCAGAGAGCTACTTTCCCAGGACGATAAAGGCAGAGAGCTACTTTCCCAGGACGATAAAGACAGAGAGCTACTTTCCCAGGACGATAAAGGCAGAGAGCTACTTTCCCAGGACGATAAAGGCAGAGAGCTACTTTCCCAGGACGATAAAGGCAGAGAGCTACTTTCCCAGGACAATAAATGCAGAGAGCTACTTTCCCAGGACGATAAAGACAGAGAGCTACTTTCCCAGGACAATAAATGCAGAGAGCTACTTTCCCAGGACGATAAAGGCAGAGAGCTACTTTCCCAGGACAATAAATGCAGAGAGCTACTTTCCCAGGACGATAAAGGCAGAGAGCTACTTTCCCAGGACGATAAAGGCAGAGAGCTACTTTCCCAGGACGATAAAGGCAGAGAGCTACTTTCCCAGGACGATAAAGGCAGAGAGCTACTTTCCCAGGACGATAAATGCAGAGAGCTACTTTCCCAGGACGATAAATGCAGAGAGCTACTCCTTTAAGCGACCCAAGGAATTAAAACAGTGATATATCCGTGTGAACGATGTTTGGACTCGAGGCTGAGCTGGTTGGTTCTTTCTCTGACGCTCTTTGGAAACGCAAACAAGTAATACAAAACCAAACTATGCCTTTTGTGATTTTGTCAGGATTATATCGGGTACATTTATTATTTATCATCACATATTTGTTTTTAGTGCACAAAGTACGTGCATTTACAAAAACAATTCATGAGGATGCATAATACTGAAATATTAACAACATTATTTGATTTGTTCATTTCTGAATCCTTTGGCGAGCTACTAGTGGCTGGTGTAGGTCTGGTGGCTGGTGTAGGTCATATACTGTAAATATATATATATAAATACTATTTATATATGTATCAGATATCACGCTGTACATGTCCGTAAATTGCTTAGTAGGTTAACGTGTAATTAAAGGAGAAGCTAAAGTTAGCTGCACTTTAGACGTTCATGATCTCCTTCATGTGAGTGGATTCATCTCACAGTTTATTAATGACATCTTTGTCTTTGTTTGGGTTATTACTATAAAACAAACAAAATATGCAGTAAATATATGTAGTTTTTCTATGGTTTAGCCGCTATAAGACCAGAACAAACCGTTATTTTAATTCCCAAAAACACACCAAGAATTGTCGTAGGTCGTACTTTATGCAACAAGAGAAATGTCCACAATGTCTTTCATCAGAACCCATGATCCGCTTTACAGAACTGACTTTTAGCACTTTGGACGACTCTGTTTATCACTTCTTCTTCTTCTTTGATCCAAGTTTCAAAGCTCAAACAAGTTGTAACATTCTTCTCTTATTATTTGTTGGGTTTTATAAACAGCCTTGACATTCATTTGAAACCTGGCACTTTCTGAATCAGCCTTTGACTCACTCAGCCCTCACCTGCAGAGTTTATTAATCACATCTTTTCCTTCTTTGCGTTGGTCTGAAGCGGCCTCTGGTTACAGTTGTTCTGGGCCAACTTTAGTCCATGTGTCATTCCACGTTGGGCCACAAATTACATTACCGTCTCCCTCCGCCCGTTACCCAGACTAAACTGTCCAAACCCACTCATACTTTCTATTTTCTGCAGAAAGAAGGCGTCAGAGGTGAACGATGTGGTCAAATCCAACCCGTCCAAACGCCACCGGGATCGGCTGAACGGCGAGCTGGACCGCCTCACGGAGCTGCTGCCTTTCCCCGAGGACGTGCGCACTCGACTGGACAAGCTCTCGGTCTTGCGGCTCAGTGTGGGATACCTGCGAGTCAAGAGTTACTTCAAAGGTATCTGGGTCTAAGGATCTGATGTTTCATAAAGATCCACCAAGTCCATCACAGCAGTTCTACAAGATTATTATATTTAAGATTATTATATTTAAGATTATTATATTTAAGATTATTATATTTAAGATTATTATATTCAAGATTATTATATTCAAGATTATTATATTTCAGATTATTATATTTAAGATTATTATATTTAAGATTATTATATTCAAGATTTATATATTCAAGATTATTATATTTCAGATTATTATATTTAAGATTATTATATTTAAGATTATTATATTTAAGATTATTATATTCAAGATTATTATATTCAAGATTATTATATTTCAGATTATTATATTCAAGATTATTATATTTCAGATTATTATATTTCAGATTATTATATTCAAGATTATTATATTTCAGATTATTATATTTAAGATTATTATATTTAAGATTATTATATTTCAGATTATTATATTTCAGATTATTATATTTAAGATTATTATATTCAAGATTATTATATTTCAGATTATTATATTTCGGATTATTATATTTCAGATTATTATATTTCAGATTATTATATTTCAGATTATTATATTTCAGATTATTATATTTAAGAATATTATATTCAAGATTATTATATTTCAGATTATTATATTTCGGATTATTATATTTCAGATTATTATATTTCAGATGATTACAGGCTCCTCACAGCAGCAGGAGAACGCTACCGGTCATTATTTCTTAATAACAGACTCTCAAAACAATAATGACCGCTGCCCTTTGGCAACGCACTCTCTGCTTGTAATTCATGTGTAGATTACTCTGACAGTAGTTTGTACACTTCGTCACAACGGGCTACTTTTGTCTGTGAGAGAAAAGCTATCGTAGCTAGCCACGCTCAATAACACAAATATCAATAAAACATTAAAATGTTAATGTGAGAACACATTATACACATTCTTAACACACAGAGGTTTTCAGAATCATCTGTTCACGTTTTCATGATAAAAATACTGTTTTAATGCGACAAAACTCTTGTCTATTCAGCTGTTATGGTCCCAGCTGGATTCGTCTGCATATCTGGCAACCTGAGTCAGGGAGAGTGGGAGAGGCTGCAGTACCACTTTTGGCCACATTTTTACATACAGCTCCTTTAACTTAATATGAACTATATAAACACTCGAGCAGCAATTACCTTTTGGAAGTTGATCTAAGCCACACATGTACCAACCACTTCCTCTTACACGCTGCTTTGTCTGCGTCTGGCGGATGAACCAGACCAGTCACTGACTTTTAGAACTGGTTTTTAGTCGGGTTCATGACTGAGTTCCGCCTGTGCTCGTTGACAACTGAGAAAGGAATGAACGGCATTTGCTTTTCGGAAACAACACATCCGAAACACAGTCACGTCGCCATCACACCGCCCTGTTCTGAGAAAGAGCAGGTAGAAGGAGATCTACTATAACCTACACTGTCTAGACCTGCAGCGCTTATAGACTCTGTCAGGACTGAAAATGTGTTCAATTAATCTAATAAAATCTCTGCAATCTTTCTGTTTGGTCACACTGGATTCACAACGCACTCTTCTGCTATAAATCATTATTTAAATTAGCTTGTGCAAAATGTGCAGGTTGCTAGATTCAACTTTATTGTCATTACAAAGTCAGAACAATGCAACAAAAGTCAGTTTAGCCTCTGACCAGGGCAATAGTGGAAGTATAGGATCATAATTACAACACAGATAATTATATTGGCACATGGGAGACTGTGCAGCTGCTATTGCTAGTTTATACATTCATTATGTTACAGTACATTCAGGTAAGGCAAGATTTTGCATAGCACAATTCATGTATGCACAGCTAAACAGAACTGTTTTTAACCTGGTTTTAAACATTGTCAGAGAGGAGGCCTGTCTCACATCTTCAGGAAGACTGTTCCAGATTTTAGCAGCATGAATCTGAAAAGCAGCCTCCCCATGTTTAGTTCTGACTCTGGGCACTAACAGGAGTCCAGTCCCTGTGCTCCTCAGAGTCCCAGCAGGAGGCCAGTCCCTGTGCTCCTCAGAGTCCCAGCAGGAGTCCAGTCCCTGTGCTCCTCAGAGTCCCAGCAGGAGGCCAGTCCCTGTGCTCCTCAGAGTCCCAGCAGGAGGCCAGTCCCTGTGCTCCTCAGAGTCCCAGCAGGAGGCCAGTCCCTGTGCTCCTCAGAGTCCCAGCAGGAGGCCAGTCCCTGTGCTCCTCAGAGTCCCAGCAGGAGTCCAGTCCCTGTGCTCCTCAGAGTCCCAGCAGGAGTCCAGTCCCTGTGCTCCTCAGAGTCCCAGCAGGAGTCCAGTCCCTGTGCTCCTCAGAGTCCCAGCAGGAGTCCAGTCCCTGTGCTCCTCAGAGTCCGGGCTGGTTCATATGGGACTAACATGTCACTAATATATTTTGGTGCGAGGCCATGGAGAGACTTGTAACAAGCAGAGCTGTTTTAAAGTCTATTCTCTGAGCCACAGGAAGCAGAGACCTGAGGACTGGACTAATGTGGTCGTACTTCCTGGTTCTAGTCAGGACTAATGTGGTCGTACTTCCTGGTTCTAGTCAGGACTAATGTGGTCGTACTTCCTGGTTCTAGTCAGGACTGGAGCTGCTGCATTTTGAATGTACTGCAGCTGTTTTACAGCCTGTTTGGACAGACCTGTGATCAGGCCATTGCAGTAGTCTAACCTACTGGAGACAAATGCATGGATAAGAATCTCCAAGTGCATCTATTTGAGTATACTGAGTATAGTTTACAGTCAAAGAGGTTGAAAATTAGATTCTATAGACCCCAAGAAGAATACTGTATATTTCAGAAGCTTATGGGGGTATAAATAAAACTACTGGGGTTGCAAGAAAAGAGGCTAACCCCAGGCGTTCTGCGACGCCTGCAGTATGTGTTCTGCGACGCCTGCAGTATGTGTTCTGCGACGCCTGGAGTATGTGTTCTGCGACGCCTGCAGTATGTGTTCTGCGACGCCTGCAGTATGTGTTCTGCGACGCCTGCAGTATGTGTTCTGCGACGCCTGCAGTATGTGTTCTGCGACGCCTGCAGTATGTGTTCTGCGACGCCTGCAGTATGTGTTCTGCGACGCCTGCAGTGTGTGTTCTGCGACGCCTGCGGTATGTGTTCTGCGACGCCTGCAGTATGTGTTCTGCGACGCCTGCAGTATGTGTTCTGCGACGCCTGCTGTAGGTGTTCTGCGACGCCTGCAGTATGTGTTCTGCGACGACTGCAGTATGTGTTTTGCGACGCCTGCAGTATGTGTTCTGCGACGCCTGCGGTATGTGTTCTGCGACGCCTGCGGTATGTGTTCTGCGACGCCTGCGGTATGTGTTCTGCGACGCCTGCAGTATGTGTTCTGCGACGCCTGCAGTATGTGTTCTGCGACGCCTGCAGTATGTGTTCTGCGACGCCTGCAGTGTGTGTTCTGCAACGCCTGCGGTATGTGTTCTGCGACGCCTGCGATATGTGTTCTGCGACGCCTGCGGTAGGTGTTCTGCGACGCCTGCAGTATGTGTTCTGCGACGCCTGCAGTATGTGTTCTGCGACGCCTGCAGTATGTGTTCTGCGACGCCTGCGGTAGGTGTTCTGCGACGCCTGCGGTATGTGTTCTGCGACGCCTGCAGTATGTGTTCTGCGACGCCTGCGGTAGGTGTTCTGCGACGCCTGCGGTATGTGTTCTGCGACGCCTGCGGTATGTGTTCTGCGACGCCTGCAGTATGTGTTCTGCGACGCCTGCAGTATGTGTTCTGCGACGCCTGCGGTATGTGTTCTGCGACGCCTGCAGTATGTGTTCTGCGACGCCTGCAGTGTGTGTTCTGCGACGCCTGCGGTATGTGTTCTGCGACGCCTGCAGTATGTGTTCTGCGACGCCTGCAGTGTGTGTTCTGCGACGCCTGCGGTATGTGTTCTGCGACGCCTGCGGTATGTGTTCTGCGACGCCTGCAGTGTGTGTTCTGCGACGCCTGCGGTATGTGTTCTGCGACGCCTGCGATATGTGTTCTGCGACGCCTGCGGTAGGTGTTCTGCGACGCCTGCAGTATGTGTTCTGCGACGCCTGCAGTATGTGTTCTGCGACGCCTGCAGTATGTGTTCTGCGACGCCTGCGGTAGGTGTTCTGCGACGCCTGCGGTATGTGTTTTGCGACGCCTGCGGTATGTGTTCTGCGACGCCTGCAGTATGTGTTCTGCGACGCCTGCGATATGTGTTCTGCGACGCCTGCGATATGTGTTCTGCGACGCCTGCTGTATGTGTTCTGCGACGCCTGCGGTATGTGTTCTGCGACGCCTGCGATATGTGTTCTGCGACGCCTGCTGTATGTGTTCTGCGACGCCTGCGGTATGTGTTCTGCAACGCCTGCGATATGTGTTCTGCGACGCCTGCGATATGTGTTCTGCGACGCCTGCAGTATGTGTTCTGCGACGCCTGCAGTATGTGTTCTGCGACGCCTGCAGTATGTGTTCTGCGACGCCTGCTGTAGGTGTTCTGCGACGCCTGCAGTATGTGTTCTGCGACGCCTGCAGTATGTGTTCTGCGACGCCTGCAGTATGTGTTCTGCGACGCCTGCAGTATGTGTTCTGCGACGCCTGCTGTAGGTGTTCTGCGACGCCTGCAGTATGTGTTCTGCGACGCCTGCAGTATGTGTTCTGCGACGCCTGCAGTATGTGTTCTGCGACGCCTGCAGTATGTGTTCTGCGACGCCTGCGGTATGTGTTCTGCGACGCCTGCAGTATGTGTTCTGCAACGCCTGCGATATGTGTTCTGCGACGCCTGCGATATATGTGTTCTGCGACGCCTGCTGTATGTGTTCTGCGACGCCTGCGGTATGTGTTCTGCGACGCCTGCGATATGTGTTCTGCGACGCCTGCTGTATGTGTTCTGCGACGCCTGCGGTATGTGTTCTGCGACGCCTGCGATATGTGTTCTGCGACGCCTGCGATATGTGTTCTGCGACGCCTGCAGTATGTGTTCTGCGACGCCTGCTGTATGTGTTCTGCGACGCCTGCAGTATGTGTTCTGCGACGCCTGCAGTATGTGTTCTGCGACGCCTGCAGTATGTGTTCTGCGACGCCTGCAGTATGTGTTCTGCGACGCCTGCGATATGTGTTCTGCGACGCCTGCGATATGTGTTCTGCGACGCCTGCAGTATGTGTTCTGCGACGCCTGCAGTATGTGTTCTGCGACGCCTGCAGTATGTGTTCTGCGACGCCTGCTGTATGTGTTCTGCGACGCCTGCAGTATGTGTTCTGCGACGCCTGCAGTATGTGTTCTGCGACGCCTGCGATATGTGTTCTGCGACGCCTGCAGTATGTGTTCTGCGACGCCTGCAGTATGTGTTCTGCGACGCCTGCAGTATGTGTTCTGCGACGCCTGCGATATGTGTTCTGCGACGCCTGCGATATGTGTTCTGCGACGCCTGCGATATGTGTTCTGCAACGCCTGCAGTATGTGTTCTGCGACGCCTGCAGTATGTGTTCTGCGACGCCTGCAGTATGTGTTCTGCGACGCCTGCGATATGTGTTCTGCGACGCCTGCGATATGTGTTCTGCGACGCCTGCGATATGTGTTCTGCGACGCCTGCAGTATGTGTTCTGCGACGCCTGCAGTATGTGTTCTGCGACGCCTGCAGTATGTGTTCTGCGACGCCTGCAGTATGTGTTCTGCGACGCCTGCAGTATGTGTTCATTATTACGACAGGGCGACAGTAGCTCAGTTGTAGAGCATTGGTCTTTGGGCCTGAAGGTCGTGGGTTCTAGCCCACCATTAGACCTACTTCACGACTCCCACTGATGTCTGCTGTTGTTGTGTCCTTGGGCAAGACACTTAACCCCACTTCGCCTGAAGACCCCGCTGAAAGATGTCAGCTCCTGTGGACTCAGCACCTGCAGGAGGATCAGTGAGGGGCTGGTGCTCTGACTGCCACCCCCGACCCAGAAATGGATTAAGGGGAAGAAAATGGATGGATGGATTATTCATTATTATTCATTATTATGCCAGCCATCATACTGCCAGAGATTTTGAATATTATTAGTGTTTTTCCAAACCTCATGTAAATATAAGCCCTTGGTTGACACGAGTATGAAACATACCAAATGAAAGCTCTGTCTCTTGCCTTTCATAAAAAAAAAAAAAGTTTCTAACCCTTTTAGTTTTTTAGCAGTTGAGAGTAGAACAGAGGTAACTTTCACACAGAAGGCTGTTTCCTGACCAAGATATGGAGAAAACAGCCTTTTTTTCCTCTACTGATATTTTACAATGTATGACTCTTATTATGACACAGAACAGGAACAATACTTAGAATTGTATTTTTAATGGATAATTATTTTTACACAAATTAAACGTGTACACACAATACACATAAAATATACTTGTATACAATAAAAACACTCCAAAGCCTTTACCGGTCTGAAATGTTGACACAGGAGACAAAAGAGCCGTCGCTGCAGTCCATGGCAGTGAATGAGTTAATATTCATTAGTATTCATTAGTATTCATTAGTATTTATTAGTATTCATTAGTATTTATTAGTATTGATTAGTATTTATTAGTATTCATTAATATTCATGTGTTGTGTTTACCTCGTTTGGTTGTTTACCGTCGTAAGAATAAAAACAAAGTTGATTCATATGAACTTTATTAAACAGATAATTCAGTTTCTCTGCAACTAAAAACAAACTGGGCGGCACGGTGGCTGAGTGGTTAGCCCTCTCGCCTCTCAGCATGAAGGTTTCTGGGTTCGAATCCTGGTCGGAAGAGGGCCTTTCTGAGTGGAGTTTGCATGTTCTCCCGTGTCTGTGTAGGTTTCCTCCGGGTGCTCCGGTTTCCCTGACCACTAAAAACAAAACCCAACCAAATAAACCATAAAATACATAAATACATAAACTTTAGGTTACAGCAACACAAGGCCAACAGAACAGTACAAAAGACATTCAGTTTATGAATTAAAAATAAATATAGACAATATACAACATTTATGGACAATTAAAGTACGCACACAGTATATCACATAACGAAAAATGAATAAATAAGAAAAGAAAAAGCCTAAAATACACACACATGTGTAAAAAGTAAAATGGTAAAACTCTTGGTATCTTGTGTCGATACATTTTTGTCCATTTTTCCCCATTATCTGTAAAACATTCAGACTCAGTTCCATGTCAGCTCGATTACAAATAATAAGTTTAAACTCCATATTTTCTTTTCTCTTTTGCTGCTTTTGTTTGGACTTTTCCAAAGAACTCAGTTATCCTGTTTTGGGAGCGCGGCGGTGACTCAGGATCCAGTCCGACCACCATCACATGTGGATTTCTTATTAACTCGGAATTAGCTCTGCACGAGGAGCCTGATTGAGTTTGAGTTTTTGGTATTTTGAATTAGTTTTATTTAGCAGCTTGAATTAATGCAGCCTGTCACTCTCTTGGCTTTTGTTTTGTCATGTCAGCTGCACACGATTGTGTAAGAATATCACTGTGTGTGTGTGTGTGTGTGTGTGTGTGTGTTATGCAATTATAACAAATACAATTATTACAATGGCCTTTTTATGGGTTTAGGGACAGACCGGAGGAGTAAAGTCAAAGAAGAGAGACCAGAGAGAGACCAGAGAGAGAGAGAGACCAGAGAGAGACCAGAGAGAGAGAGAGACCAGAGAGAGACCAGAGAGAGACCAGAGAGAGACCAGAGAGAGACCAGAGAGAGACCAGAGAGAGACCAGAGAGAGACCAGAGAGAGACCAGAAAGAGACCAGAAAGAGACCAGAAAGAGACCAGAGAGAGACCAGAGAGAGACCAGAGAGAGACCAGAGAGAGACCAGAGAAAGACCAGAGAGGGAGACCAGAGAGAGACTAGAGAGAGACCAGAGAGAGACCAGAGAAAGACCAGAGAGAGATCAGAGAGAGATCAGAGAGAGACCAGAGAGAGACCAGAGAGAGAGACCAGAGAGAGAGACCAGAGAGAGACCAGAGAGAGAGACCAGCGAGAGACCAGAGAGAGACCAGAGAGAGACCAGAGAGAGACCAGAGAGAGACCAGAGAGAGAGACCAGAGAGAGACCAGAGAGAGAGACCAGAGAGAGAGACCAGAGAGAGACCAGAGAGAGAGACCAGAGAGAGACCAGAGAGAGAGACCAGAGAGAGAGACCAGAGAGAGACCAGAGAGAGACCAGAGAGAGAGACCAGAGAGAGAGACCAGAGAGAGACCAGAGAGAGAGACCAGAGAGAGACCAGAGAGAGACCAGAGAGAGAGACCAGAGAGAGACCAGAGAGAGAGACCAGAGAGAGACCAGAGAGAGACCAGAGAGAGACCAGAGAGAGACCAGAGAGAGACCAGGCGTGCTTTTGTTCTGAGGCAGATCACGTTGCAGGATCCGGTTCTCGTTCTTGTGAATGAATTAAATCAGGCTCCATTATCTCTGAAAAATAAAACGTAATCAGGTCCAACCCCAATGTTTTTAGTTTAGCCTTTTTCCAACACAGATGATGACAGAAGCGACACTGGTCCATCAAAGCCTCCGACCAAACACCATCCATTCACTCTCTCATTTACATTCAGACCAATTGTTTAGTGGTTGGAGAAACCGGAGGAGCCGAGGGAAACTTGCACAGACACAGGGAGAACATGCAAACTCCACTCAGAAAGACCCTGTTCCGACCGGGACTCGAACCCCTCTTGCTGAGAAGCGAGAGTGCCCAAAGCCGGTGATACTTTATCTGGGTTGCCATCTCCTCCAGAATTGGAACATTAAAGTGGAAAATGACACTATTTTACCAAACTAAAGTAATTTACCGCCCCCCAGCACGGTCCCCCAGCACTGCCCCCCAGCACGGTCCCACCGGAGGACGCCACCACAGCTGTAAATGTATTTTTTTCATGCTCCTGGCATCAAGAAGGAACGATCAGAGAGTCAAGGTCGTGCTGTGGGTCTGTGGGGAGCATCCAGCAGCACTGAGTCTCTACACGGGACAAAGGTACTCACTGAGTCTCTACACGGGACAAAGGTACTCCACTGAGTCTCTACACGGGACAAAGGTACTCACTGAGTCTCTACACGGGACAAAGGTACTCACTGAGTCTCTACACGGGACAAAGGTACTCACTGAGTCTCTACACGGGACAAAGGTACTCACTGAGTCTCTACACGGGACAAAGGTACTCACTGAGTCTCTACACGGGACAAAGGTACTCACTGAGTCTCTACACGGGACAAAGGTACTCACTGAGTCTCTACACGGGACAAAGGTACTCACTGAGTCTCTACACGGGACAAAGGTACTCACTGAGTCTCTACACGGGACAAAGGTACTCACTGAGTCTCTACACGGGACCAAAGGTACTCACTGAGTCTCTACACGGGACAAAGGTACTCACTGAGTCTCTACACGGGACAAAGGTACTCACTGAGTCTCTACACGGGACAAAGGTACTCACTGAGTCTCTACACGGGACAAAGGTACTCACTGAGTCTCTACACGGGACAAAGTACTCACTGAGTCTCTACACGGGACAAAGGTACTCACTGAGTCTCTACACGGGACAAAGGTACTCACTGAGTCTCTACACGGGACAAAGGTACTCACTGAGTCTCTACACGGGACAAAGGTACTCACTGAGTCTCTACACGGGACAAAGGTACTCACTGAGTCTCTACACGGGACAAAGGTACTCACTGAGTCTCTACACGGGACAAAGGTACTCACTGAGTCTCTACACGGGACAAAGGTACTCACTGAGTCTCTACACGGGACAAAGGTACTCACTGAGTCTCTACACGGGACAAAGGTACTCACTGAGTCTCTACACGGGACAAAGGTACTCACTGAGTCTCTACACGGGACAAAGGTACTCACTGAGTCTCTACACGGGACAAAGGTACTCACTGAGTCTCTACACGGGACAAAGGTACTCAAAGGTACTCACTGAGTCTCTACACGGGACAAAGGTACTCACTGAGTCTCTACACGGGACAAAGGAACTCACTGAGCAAAGAATCTCAAAGAGATGAAAGAAAAACACAAATCCAACGGTACAATTATCTGTATAAAATGTCAGGTTTGCGTGCGGCCGTTTGCTTCAGATCCAGAGAATGTTCCTTTCACTCAGAGCTGTGGTTTCCAGACGGATCGTTGTCGTTGTGGCTTGGCTGAAATGTGTTCAGTGGATGAGTATTTTTATGTAGAAACTTATGTAGACTGGTGCTATGAGCATTGGGGAGCAGCTCTCATTGCCACCCCCCTGACCCAGAAATGGACAATAAAGGGCTTGAAAAACTTCCAACTTTTAAAGGAACTAAAGACTCGATGGAACATGTCAACAAACAAAGTGTTGTTATAAAAATACTTAAAAAATCTACTAATATTAGCCTTGTTTTAGTGAATCCCGCTGCTCGGATGAGGATATTTTATCAACCATACAAGCTTAGGCATTGCACAAATATCTTTATGAAAAAAAACATACACAAAAATACACAATTGGTGGTTATTTGTAGTACATATATTACGTTATACATACTATAACTACAGGCTAAATAAACAGGTTATATACTGATAATATACAGGAAAGAGACATAAGGCAATTCTCAAGGCACGTAGCTGTGAAAAATAGAAAAACAAATGGCTCCAAGTCTTAATGAAAGTCTGTAAAGGCCGTCTACGTCAGGTTTTTATAATCCTGTCATATATATTTGTAGATGCAGCGTAATTCAGAGAAAGCACAAATACTGAATGATTTCACACAACGTCTGGTTAAGCCACATTCATGCGTTCGTTAAAAGTGTTCGAGTCAGACGGAGGACTGGCTGCTTCGTCCAAATATTCTGAAGTTGTGGTTCTTTTAGAAAGCTGATGCGTCATGGACAGTTCATGCTCATTCACAAAATAAGCATAAACATAATTATCCTTACTCTTTTTTATATTAAGACGATTTTACACAAGAGCTCAATACCTGTACTTTAGAGAATCAAAGTGAGGTGAGATAAGGAGCCGTTAGCTGCCTGTGGCGCAGGAGAAGGCACAAAGAAACATCTGGGTTTGGTTATTTAAACAATATAAGGCCTTTTTGGTTAAGTGCTCACAGAGGTGCAATAAACATCTGTCATTATTCTCGGTTCAAATGCTCAGGTATAATCTCCACAAGAATATTGACTTTTCAGTATTTATATACAAACATAGATAATGATATCCAATAAAATACATGTAGTTTGTGTTTGTAGATTCTTTAGGAAGAATATGGACTCAGTCAATGTTTGACAAGAACAAAGTTATGAATCAAAGCATCAGAAACTCACTCTTTAAAGGTTTGTATAAATCATCCAAAACATAACTTTATCATATGAATCGTTTCATATAAATCAGGCACTTTGATCTTTGACTGGAGTAAGTCACTAAAGAATGAAGAGTGTTCACTTAATGCTGAGTCAACGAACATGTGTCAAATATTAATATTAATATACGTCTGAAGTCAAATTTAACTAAATCAGATATATCAAAACCAAAAACAATTTTACCACAACATTTCCATCTTCAGGAGACAGAAAGAAAAAGAAAAGCTGAAAGATAATTTCTGTGATCTACTTTCCTCAATAATGTTTTTCCAGATGAGTCAAAGCTGATGTTTGCTGCCCTCTAGTGGACGTGGACGTGTTACGGCACTATGGTTCTGATAAACTGTCTCTTTGGACTGCAGCTTTATAAAGCATCAGGTGATCGTGGCAAAGAGAGGACTGCATCTCCACATGTGTCATATTTACATCTAATTGTTGTCTTTTCCTTTGGCAGGTTGCTCTCACATGAGCGAGGCTGACTGAAGCTCAAGTTCCACATTTGTAAACGCACTTGTGGCTTCATACTTCATGATTATCATAACATCTTCAGACAAAATGACAAGCTACAGCGATTGGCTATACAGTAAGCAAGAGCAGTACATTAAAGGCCGCACAATAAAACAAGTGACATGTGACTAGGATGAGACCGTGAGGGGAGCACTGAGACAGGCTGTTGTCCTTCTGCGAGAGTCCTCAGCGAGGCTCAGGTCTCCCCACGAAGCGACTGGACGACGAGCAGAGGAAGCTCCTACTGGCCTCACCCAGAATGGCTTTATCCTACAAGACACACAGAGTACAGAACTTAACATTAATACTAGTGGAGTTAGATTATTTACTGTTGTTACATCATTAAAATATTAGGTTAAAGAGACTGTCTGGCTTTTTAATAAGAGTCACTTATTAAAAAGATTATAGTAAGCATGTTTTATTCTGTTAGTCTTTTATAGTTTGTATTCTACATTCACCGTGTCTTGAGAGTGTAGTCTTACCTGCGTCCCTCTTTGGCACTCCAGATATGGCTGTGATGCTACGCCATGATCTGCGGGGGGCATTCTGGCGGGGAAAGGCATTGTGTTTGGGTTGACAATATCCGGGTTGATGGGTAATGTGCTCACCACAGGCTCACTGGGCCTCCAATGGAAATAGCAGGAGTTCTGAGGAGCAGTCTGGTCCAGAGAAGAGGCACTGCCCAGAAAGGTGAAGCTGTCACCCCCTGCTGGGCTGGAGGAAAAGGCCTGGTCAAACATGCAGCTGCTGTGAGTAGGTGCCTGGCCACATGCCAGCCCACCCTGCTGCTGAATGTGGTTCAGTCCATTAACACTCCTGGGCAAGTGGCCAGCATGTGGAAATGTTTGGCTTTCTGTAGATAGGTTGTGGCACGCTGGTATGGGATCATGTCCATTCTGTGCTATGCCACAGAGGGGCAGCTGCTGCTGCTGCTGCTGCTGCTGCTGCTGCTGGCTCTGAGGCCACTGCTCCACCTCCTGGTGTGGTTCAAAAGTTGTAGTGGAATTGAAGTTATTGCAAGGCACCAGAGGTGGTAAAATGTCTGCATGAGGCGGTAAGTGGCTGTGCTGCTGCAGGGGCCCACAGAGCAGCTGTCTGTTTGGGGCCATGGAGGCATGTTGCACATTATTTTGAGGATATAGCAGGGGCTGGCTCAGCTGAGGCTGGCTCAGCTGAGGCTGGCTCAGCTGAGGCTGGCTCAGCAGGGGCTGGCTCAGCTGAGGCTGGCTCAGCAGGGGCTGGCTCAGCTGAGGCTGGCTCGGCTGAGGCTGGCTCAGCAGGGGCTGACTCAGCAGGGGCTGGCTCAGCTGAGGCTGGCTCAGCAGGGGCTGGCTCAGCTGAGGCTGGCTCGGCTGAGGCTGGCTCAGCTGAGGCTGGCTCGGCTGAGGCTGGCTCAGCAGGGGCTGGCTCAGCTGAGGCTGGCTCAGCAGGGGCTGGCTCAGCTGAGGCTGGCTCGGCTGAGGCTGGCTCAGCAGGGGCTGACTCAGCAGGGGCTGGCTCAGCAGGGGCTGACTCAGCAGGGGCTGGCTCAGCTGAGGCTGTCCGGAGATACCAGAGGGGCCGGCCATGTCAGTGTTGGTTGTCTGAAGGAATAGTAGAGAGGCATCACTTATGGAGGCGTCAGACACACTGAGATCTGGGAGCTCTATCGATGGGTAGAAAATATCCTGCAGTTGCAGCTGCTGCAGCGGCGGGAGTTTGGAGTCAGGCAGAAGTGGAGGGTGACACAGTTTCTGGGTGCCATTATACATTGGAGCTGATGCTGGAAGACTGTCTGCCTCCTGTGTGTGAGAATACAGCACAGTCACAGGGGAAAAGGCACAGTCTGCACTGGGGGTCTGATATAATGCTGGTGCTGAAAGGACAGTGGGAGTAAAAGAATCTGGACTGACTCCTGCCAAACAACTCGGAGGACTGTTGATAGGATCAGCCTCATTCTTCTCTTTGAACAGAACAGAGTCAATAAAGTCAAAGATCTCATTAGTGAGCACATTGTCCAGCTCGGCCCTGACATCTCCCTGCAGATCTCCGTTCTCTTGGTTTATTCTCTTCAGAGCGTTCTCCCACTCACTCAGCTCCTCCTCCGGCACCTCCAGGTTCTGCATCATGTCAGCAAAGTTTCCATTTTGAGACATTTTTTCAAGTCCATTGATTATGGCCATGACTGACTGTTTGGCTTCCTCTTTGACCACCACAGGCTGCCCGGCCGTGGGACAGACACCGTCCTCCTGCCACGAGTTGTTGGTCACAGAGACCAGAGCCCGGCTGTCCATGAAGACCTGGTCCACAGGGAGCGGGGCCTCGATGTTCTCGGTGTAAACAGTCTGGTCCTGCTTTAAGAAGCTGTCCACCAGAGAGCCCGGCAGACCACTGTCACTGCTGTCACTGCTGAACTGACTGTTGAACTGGAACTGCGTCACGTCCACGGTGGGACTGTTGTAGAGCACGGCCTCTCCGGTGGCGAAGCTGAAGGGCAGCTGCACCCTCCTCTGCCGCAGATACTCCTCTCCTTCTGCATTTCTGGAAAAGAGAGAGAAAACAATGTTAACCATCATAACAACAAAAACACATTTAAAACTAGAACGTACACTAGAGCCTTTTGGTAAGCGATGATGAATTCAGGTCGTCCTCCTTTAAAAATGAGTTTGGCGTTGGATTTGACCCAAACCCACCCTCCAGATTTGCTGAGGAGCCTGAAGACTGTCAGACCACTTTCTCCTGTTTTGATCACTGTGAACAAGAACAATGAGCATGAATGAAAAGAACTAATACTGCAGTAGTCTGTGGGTCTGAGCGTCTTACTTCGCACATGGTTGTCGGCGCAGTACATCATGTCTGCAGCGTGTATGAACTGATAACCCGAGCCTTTCATGCAGAGCTCCACCTCGGAATAACCCAAAATGATCTTCCCTCTGCAAAACAATGCAATAAAAGCACAATTTACTTTCTCTAAAAGTCCGTGAGCCACATTCAGATCTAAAGGAAACTACCGTCCGTCGACTCCCATGGGCGTGAAGTCCAGTTTGTGCTTGGTCTGAAACAGGAGCATCTTGGCTCTGATCTCGACGATGGTGGACGGCTGGACTGGCATTGCAATACTGAACAGAGCCAGCTGTGCTTGGGTTCGCGTCCCATTGTCCCTTAAAACACTTTGGCCATGGAGGTACTTCAGGCGCCCCTGGAACTTCAGGGCCTAATGGAACAAAAACAAGTTAACATTTGAAATACACAATGGACATTCTGTAGTTAGAGACGACACAGACCAGAAAGCCCGAGGAGTTATCCAGGAGGCAGCGGAATCGGCAAACAAAACTTCTCTCCAGAAATGAGGAGTTTTCTGGAGGGAGTTGGTCGGGATGGTAGGACACTCCTTCAGGACCGCTCTGTACGGACGCTGCACACAACAGATTCAGATTCATTTATTTGCCATCTGCAGTAAAACCACATTGGAATACATTTGCAAAAGTCCCCAGTCTCTCTCTGGTCTCTCTCTCTGGTCTCTCTCTGGTCTCTCTCTGGTCTCTCTCTGGTCTCTCTCTGGTCTCTCTCTGGTCTGTCTCTGGTCTGTCTCAGGTCTCTCTCTGGTCTCTCTCTCTGGTCTCTCTCTGGTCTCTCTCTGGTCTCTCTCTGGTCTCTCTCTCTGGTCTCTCTCTGGTCTCTCTCTGGTCTGTCTCTGGTCTGTCTCAGGTCTCTCTCTGGTCTCTCTCTCTGGTCTCTCTCTGGTCTCTCTCTGGTCTCTCTCTGGTCTCTCTCTGGTCTCTCTCTGGTCTCCCTCTGGTCTCTCTCTCTGGTCTCTGGTCTCTCTCTGCTCTCTCTCTGGTCTCTCTCTCTGGTCTCTCTCTGGTCTCTCTCTGGTCTCTCTCTAGTCTCTCTCTGGTCTCTCTCTGGTCCCTCTCTGGTCCCTCTCTGGTCTCTCTCTGGTCTCTCTCTCTGGTCTGTCTCAGGTCTCTCTCTGGTCTCTCTCTCTGGTCTCTCTCTGATCTCTCTCTGGTCTGTCTCTGGTCTGTCTCAGGTCTCTCTCTGGTCTCTCTCTCTGGTCTCTCTCTGATCTCTCTCTGGTCTCTCTCTGGTCTCTCTCTAGTCTCTCTCTGGTCTCTCTCTGGTCCCTCTCTGGTCCCTCTCTGGTCTCTCTCTGGTCTCTCTCTCTGGTCTCTCTCTGGTCTCTCTCTGGTCTCTCTCTGGTCTCTCTCTGGTCTCTCTCTGGTCTCTCTCTGGTCCCTCTCTGGTCTCTCTCTGGTCTCTCTCTCTGGTCTCTCTCTGGTCCCTCTCTGGTCTCTCTCTGGTCTCTCTCTGGTCTCTCTCTGGTCTCTCTCTGGTCTCTCTCTGGTCTCTCTCTAGTCTCTCTCTGGTCTCTCTCTGGTCCCTCTCTGGTCTCTCTCTGGTCCCTCTCTGGTCTCTCTCTGGTCTCTCTCTCTGGTCTCTCTCTGGTCTCTCTCTGGTCTCTCTCTGGTCTCTCTCTGGTCTCTCTCTGGTCTCTCTCTGGTCTCTCTCTGGTCTCTCTCTGGTCTCTCTCTGGTCTGTCTCTGGTCTGTCTCAGGTCTCTCTCTGGTCTCTCTCTCTGGTCTCTCTCTGGTCTCTCTCTGGTCTCTCTCTGGTCTCTCTCTCTGGTCTCTCTCTGGTCTCTCTCTGGTCTGTCTCTGGTCTGTCTCAGGTCTCTCTCTGGTCTCTCTCTCTGGTCTCTCTCTGGTCTCTCTCTGGTCTCTCTCTGGTCTCTCTCTGGTCTCCCTCTGGTCTCCCTCTGGTCTCTGGTCTCTCTCTGCTCTCTCTCTGGTCTCTCTCTCTGGTCTCTCTCTGGTCTCTCTCTGGTCTCTCTCTGGTCTCTCTCTGATCTCTCTCTGGTCCCTCTCTGGTCTCTCTCTGGTCTCTCTCTGGTCTCTCTCTAGTCTCTCTCTGGTCTCTCTCTGGTCCCTCTCTGGTCTCTCTCTGGTCCCTCTCTGGTCTCTCTCTGGTCTCTCTCTCTGGTCTCTCTCTGGTCTCTCTCTGGTCTCTCTCTCTGGTCTCTCTCTGGTCTCTCTCTGGTCTCTCTCTGGTCTCTCTCTGGTCTCTCGCTGGTCTCTCTCTGGTCTCTCTCTGGTCTCTCTCTGGTCTCTCTCTGGTCTCTCTCTGGTCTCTCTCTGGTCCCTCTCTGGTCTCTCTCTGGTCTCTCTCTCTGGTCTCTCTCTGGTCTCTCTCTGGTCTCTCTCTGGTCCCTCTCTGGTCTCTCTCTGGTCTCTCTCTCTGGTCTCTCTCTGGTCTCTCTCTGGTCTCTCTCTGGTCCCTCTCTGGTCTCTCTCTGGTCTCTCTCTCTGGTCTCTCTCTGGTCTCTCTCTGGTCTCTCTCTGGTCTCTCTCTGGTTTCTCTCTGGTTTCTCTCTGGTCTCTCTCTGGGGTCTCTCTTGTCTCTTTCATACTCTATCTTGGCACAGTTAGATAAAAATATGTGACATAGAAAACATGACTTACTGTCTCCGTCTGCGACTTCAGGAGGGTTTAAAGCAAAGTGCAGCTGCTGCCTGAACATGGTCCGGTCGTCAGTGTGGATGAGCTCAAACACACTCTGGTGCACCACATCGGACTGAGAGGGGAACAATATTACACTATTATAACACAATTATTACACAATTATAACACTATTATTACACAATTATTACACTATTATTACACTATTATAACACTATTATTACACAATTATTACACAATTATTACACTATTATTACACAATTATTACACTATTATTACACAATTATTACACTATTATTACACTATTATTACACAATTATTACACTATTATTACACTATTATTACAGAACACAGGGATTAAACTCAAGGTTCTTAAGCCTTTGCTTTAAAACAGCTCGGTTTGTCTCTCTGTGGCCTCGCACCAAAATACATCTGTGACATGTTAGTCCCATATGAACCAGCCCGGACTCTGAGGAGCACAGGGACTGGCCTCCTGCTGGGACTCTGAGGAGCACAGGGACTGGACTCCTGCTGGGACTCTGAGGAGCACAGGGACTGGCCTCCTGCTGGGACTCTGAGGAGCACAGGGACTGGACTCCTGCTGGGACTCTGAGGAGCACAGGGACTGGCCTCCTGCTGGGACTCTGAGGAGCACAGGGACTGGCCTCCTGCTGGGACTCTGAGGAGCACAGGGACTGGCCTCCTGCTGGGACTCTGAGGAGCACAGGGACTGGCCTCCTGCTGGGACTCTGAGGAGCACAGGGACTGGCCTCTTGCTGGGACTCTGAGGAGCACAGGGACTGGCCTCCTGCTGGGACTCTGAGGAGCACAGGGACTGGCCTCCTGCTGGGACTCTGAGGAGCACAGGGACTGGACTCCTGCTGGGACTCTGAGGAGCACAGGGACTGGCCTCCTGCTGGGACTCTGAGGAGCACAGGGACTGGCCTCCTGCTGGGACTCTGAGGAGCACAGGGACTGGCCTCCTGCTGGGACTCTGAGGAGCACAGGGACTGGCCTCCTGCTGGGACTCTGAGGAGCACAGGGACTGGACTCCTGTGCCTTGTGTTGCTGTGACTCATTTCCTCACTGACCATGAAGCACAACCATCACTAACACTCACATGGTAACTTTCTAAACCAGTTGTTCCTAAACTAGTCTCAGAGAAAAACATAAGCGTCACAGTCTCACCTCCTGGAACCCCAGATAGTCCTTGATGGTTGGGGAGGCGTAGAACACCAGACCATCGGACGTGACGACGATCACGAATCCGTTTAGAGCCTGCCAGAAGAAAAACAAACGCTTTCATGAAATATGTTTTTTACATTCAACAATTTAACGTTCAAGAAAGAAGAATCCCAAATGATAGATGTAATAATTCTGCATAAACCAATAGGAATGATAAACAGACACACAAGCTAAGCAGGGCAGGGCCTGGTCAGTACTGTGATGGGAGACCTCTGGAAACAGCAGGTGCCACAGTGGGGCGGCTGCGGCTGTAAAGTGCCAAACTGTGGTTGTGTTCTTAGGCAAGACACTTCCCCCACATTAGAATGAGTCTGGTGTGTGTGTGAATGGTTGGTGGTGGTGGGAGGGGCCGACGGCACAGACTGGTAGCCTCGCTTCTGTCAGTGTGCCCCAGGGCAGCTGTGGCTACAGTAGTTTATCACCACCGTGCAAGGCAAGGCAAGCTGATTTATATACAAGGAAACTCACAGTAAGAAAGCATTACAATCATTAAATATGGGGTGAATGAACAATAACATGTGAAGCAACTTTGAGTGTCCAAAGAAATCCCTTCATAAAACCAGTTTATTATAATTACGTACATAGTCTTTTGCACTTTTCAACATATTTACACTGGACATTATCTTTGTGACAATCTCTCTTGAGAAAGATAAGGTGAAATTGAACTTGTCAAGATGGATGAGTGTCCGAGGATCCAGCATCGATTCTGCCTCAGACTTTGTTTATTTGTGCGTCTGTTGTGTTGCTAATCCTGAACATCCATTCAGGAGGAAGCTGTTTGTTTAGCTCTTACCAACGCCAGCTCATGTATTGTGGACATAACAAAACATGTGGCCCATATGCTATGCTAACGCTAACCTGTCATCTCTGCAAACAGAGCACACGGCCTAATACGGCGCAGTCATTACTGGATCATCAAGAACTGGTCCGTGTCATAATGTGCTGTAAAGTAAGGCAACACAATAGACACATGATATTAGCATACTAATATCATGGAGGACTGTTGTGTGTCTGTCTGCAGGGCCTGCTGCACGGAAACACTAGCTTAGGCTTTTTCAACACAGCTGGGGATATCGTTGGTACATTCATAATATTGACACGCATGTTTTTAGGCCTTTATCACACATTTTAAACAGAAAATACAGAGAAGCAGACAAAAAACACCCTGTTCCTTGGATTATAACCCAAGAGGAAGTCAATAGTGACGCCGTTTTCCTCTCTCTACGCAGAGACGGTGATTAACGGTCTGAGTATTTCACTACGCTCTCCTTTTCAAACACCCTGACTATGGGATAAAAACTTTATTTCTCTGAAGTGAAAATGTGATGTATTCCATCTTCAATCAAAAGTAAATACAGTCATGAATAGACACTTTTGTATCCTGTGGCACGAACACAGGTGGTTTAGTTTGGACTGTGCAAAGTGTTAAAAAGATAAACTAGAATAATTATCCCTCGGTGGGTTCATGTCATTGAGCAGAATAAAAGGAAGAACCAGAGCGCTCAGGTTATGCACACAACAAACACCAACGATTATTTAAGATCA